GCTTACCTAAGGCTCCGTCCAGGTTCTGGAAAATGCTGCAGCTGTGGCCCAGACTGATATTGATTTGCTCCTGCAGGAAGGAGGGCCTGGGCTGCAGCAGGGTCAGGCCCCAGGCAAGGCCAGGTCCCCAGCACACCCAGCATGGGGAGGCTGTTCCCACACCGGCTCAGCCTGCCACATCCTGCCTCTATTCAGAGAACCAGGAAATCTCAAGACTGGAAGGAAGCTAAGGAAGCAGCTGGTTCAGCCATAAGGATGACAGCACACACCAAGGTGTGACGTTACTATGTCTGTCTCCAGTCCCGGGTTCCTATGTACGTGAGTGAACCTGATCTTCACAACATTCCTGGGGAGATGCTAACAGTATGGGTTTTTTTCACTCTCGATATATTAACTGAGACAGGCTCTTAGAATGTACACGCTGGTTTTGAGCTATGTAGCCCAGGCTGGCCTCAAATTCACGATCCTCCACACATGTATGTGTATATATGTTTCACCTGCAAGTATGTAAGTGTGCCATGTGCATGTACCCACAGAAACCAAACGAGGGCAACAGAACCCCTGAAACTAGAATTACAGACGATCACGTGGGTGTTGGGAACAGAAACCTGGACCTCTGCAACAGCCGCCAGTGCTTTTAACCACTAAGCCATCAGCTCCCCGGCGACAAACATCTAGTTATTTTGTATGCGTTTATGATCGTGTGAGTGTAGGTGCCACCGTGCACGTGTGGAGGACAATTTGCAGAAGTCTGGTTTCTCCGTCTACCATGGGGGTCCAGGAAACTGACCTGGGAGTCACCACGCCTAGCAGCATCTCCTTTACCCACTGAGCCAGGACACAGGCCCTTGGCTTAGTTTTAACCCAACCACACTGCCCCCATTTCCCCAGGACGGTAGGCAATGGCAGTGTTCTTTACAAGCCCCCAAGTCTATGGAGATCTGTCACAACAGCCCAAACGGACTGAGAAACCAACCCAGTCACTCAGACCCCAGAGCACTGTCCCCAGTGCACCCTGGCCAGTGCGATCCAGGGTCAGGATTCCCCAGACCCCTCTCCCCAGCCCACCTACCAGCTCTTACCCTCTTCTCCGGGTCCAAGAAGATCTTGGTGTAAAAGAGCTGGTCACTGTCACTATCCTGGCCCTCCCACTCGGCCACCAGTTTGTTGAGGTTGGGGGCATAACCGATGAAGCCTGACAGCGGCAGAGGGGACGGACAGACAGACATTTAGCTTTAGCCCTCCATTCCCCACCACTTTCCACCACTTTACTCGAACCCTGGCATCTTCACTGCTGACTGAGGGGAGGTATGACACAAGCTAATGCCACCGGCTGAGCATTCCCAAGATCAACTGAACCCACTGAACCGCACCCACTTAGCGCTAGGCCCCTAGAAAGCAGGTCCGCAAGGGCCAAGCTTGGATCCAGCCATCCGAGCAACTTGGATCAGAGAAGGGGAGAGGCTGAAAAAAATGCCCCCTAGCACTGCAGGGTCTGAGCCCTGACAAGCAGGGAAAGTCCAGAGGGCTCCTAGGTAAAGAGAAAAATCCCCAAGCAAGGGGGGGAGACACTTGACCCCTGGGCTAGCCTCCCCAACCCCATCCCCGGCCATGGCAACTGTGTTAGCTCTCTGGGCCAGTGAGACTCGTGGGTGGGGCCTGTGGGCTCTACTCTCTGAAAGGACTAGAAAGGGCTGAGGGCAGAAGTGTCAGAATGGTGTCAAGACAGTGACAGAGAGCCAGGCTCAGCAGCAGGAAATGAGGAGGTCCAGATGGTAGTGGGTGGAGGTCTGAATAGATACAGAGGTTTTTAACTGAGAAAGGGTCTCACGTAGCTCTGGATGGCTTTGCCCTCATTAGTAACCAAGGGTGACCTTATGATCCTCCTGCCACTATCTCTCCAATTCCAGGATTGCAGGTTCGTGGCACCAGACCGCCCATGCAGTGCCTGCCATGGAACCCAGGGCTTTTCGCATGCTAGGAACCTTGTACCAACTATGCTACGTTCTCAGCCCTGGTTTTTTGTTTTTTAAATTTTTTTACACATTTATTTGTGTGCATTGTGTGTGTGAGAGTATGTATGTGTGTGAGTGAGCTGTGTGAGTCTAAGTATGTGTAGGGTGTGTGAGCATAAGAGTGTGTGTTCCTTCCGTCATGTGGGTCTAAGGTTCAAACACATTGTCAGGCTTGATGGCAAGAGGTTTATGCCCACTGGGCAATTTCATTAGCCCTGGTTTTTCATTGTTGTTGTTGTTGTTGTTTTGTTTTAGTCCTGTCTTTTTAATAAAATTTTTTGACACACAGTGTCATGTAGCCCAGCCTGGGCTACTGGACTCTAGAGATCTTTGGGAAGAGGAAGAGATTTGGAAGGTGAAGGAGTCAGGGTGACTGAGCTTCTCCCGCACAGACGGCTGGCTCTTCAACAAAGCGAGGAAGACATCCATCCCTGAGAGGCTGTCTTTGAGACTGTGTGCATTTGGAACCCATGTCTCACAGCGATGTGCACATCTGCACATAGCTCTTACCTCCGGAGCCCAGGAACCGCTTGCCATCAGACACCGTCGGATACTTAGCCTCCAGCCTCCGGTCGGGGTAGATGAGTTCCTCAGCTGAGAAGACCACCCGGCTCTTGGCCTGCTGGAACTTCTTTAAGAGTTCCCGGGGCCCCGAGGCAAACACCACATCGTAACTGTGGCCAAAGCGGGGAGAAGGTGAAGCAGGGTCCAAAGAGGGAACCCACTGAAGGACACAGGGATCAGGAGCCCCTCCCTCAGTCTGCTGCGTTTCCTACGCTGGGCAGAGACACTGTCCCCATAACGCATGCCCTTGTCATATGACACATGGCTCATGTGTCATCTCCGGCAGCTTACACCTCCCATCTTTCACCAAGAGGAGTATTGGCCTACATCAGAGAGACTCATCCTGGGGTCTCCTGACCTTGGATAAGCTTAGTTAGAGGGAGCCTCCCTTACACATAATGTCCAGGTCTTTTTTGGACCCCCTGCCCCTAACACCACCCTGTACTCCAGGGATGCAAGCAGGAGTTCCCAGCACACCCACCTGTCAGTGAAGAGAATAACCAGGTCTTCCTTGTGCGCATGCTTTTCCAGCGCCTTCTTCAGCAGCCGAACCTTCTGTCCTCCGCCTGCCGAGGGTCCACTGTCCACGCTCCAGTCCTCCCCCAAGCCCAGGGCCTGCAGAGAGAGGCCCCCAGCTTTTGGTAGAGAAATATTCTTCCACCAGTTTGGGGAGTGGACATCTTTGCTTCCTTTCAACCCAATGTAGGGAAACCATACCGGGTGATGATGATGGTGCCAGTGGTGGTCACGTGACCAGGGATAGCCAATCACTACCTCCCATTCCTCTGCCCCTCCTGTAGCTCGAGCTTTGAAGATGTAACACCCCCTATCAAAGTCTTCCCTGGGGCTGTTGTATCAAAATGAAGGCAAGGTTGTTACGATGGGCTAAGGTTGCAAAGTTGGGGTGCAGAAGTCTGGGGCACCTTACCACGATGGAGAAAATCTGTCTCTGGAGACAGAAAAATGAAACTCTTTGCTGCTTGGGACCCTGGATCCAGCTGTCTGAAGCAACTCCCTGCTTCGTTACGATCCACAGCAGCTGATAGCTTTCTGCCTGGCTTCACACCTAGCTCTGTGTAGGCCATATTGAGGCCGGCGTTGAGTACATCTCTGTCCCCAGGGCCCAACACTGTGCCTGACAGACAAGTGCTCAGAATGGTCCGCTGAAGGGAAGGAGGGCTGACTCCTGCAGGGCTGGGCCCCATGAGCTGCCAACAGAGGACACGGAACCCACGCCCGGCAGACAGACATGTTTCTTTGTGACGGTGTACACTCTCCGGGGGACTTCAGACCACATCCATTCCAACATGCCCCAGGGGATTGTGGGAATGTTGGTCCCCAGGCCCTACCATTCACACTAACCTTCCAAGACCATCCAGGTACCACTCCACACCATTCTCCCTCTCACCTCCAAAAACCTGCTCACACTCTGCCCTTCACCCTAACTCATTCTCCTCTTGGCACCCGAGTCTGTTCCAAGAGCCCTGACTTTGGGAAGGAGAAGCCCTAGATCCCCCAACACCACACACTCACAAGGCGCGCATGCGTGCACACACACATACACACACACACACACACACACACACACACACACACACACACACACACACACTGTCTCTCCTTTTCCCAGGAAGCCCTCACCTGAATCTTGTAGTTGAAGAACTGGGCTGAACGCTTGAAGCGGCGGAAGCCCTCTGTCTCTTTGGTGGCCACAGTGAGGACCAAAAGGTTGTCTGTGGACAGAGAAGGATGAGTCTTGAACAGAGGCCTTCGTCATCACACCACTACAGACTAGGGCTCAGGCTCTGCCCAGGGCCATCCAGTGGGTTAAGGACAGAGCTGGGACATTCCCTGGGCTCCTTGTATTCAGGCAGCACCCAGAAGAGGGCGTCTGCACCCTGCCTTCTGAAACCAAGTCTCTGGCTTTAGAGGCTGCAGGCATCACCTGGGGATGGAGGGAGAGGTCCTGAGTGCTGAGCATGGGGGATCTCTCTGGCCAGTGCTGGGCATTAGAGCGGGGAAGGCAAGTGCAGAGTTCATGAGGCCACTTGCTCTCTATGCGTACACTGAGGGCGGACACACTCATTCACTGTGCTCTTCCCCAAGCCTGCGTGCATGGCTGACTCTCCCAATGCCATGATTACAGTTCAGGCTGCCTGGGGGTGGAAACCGGCTTGAAATCCCCTCACCCGTCAGTGTCTGTGGCCAGAGCAGCTGGTTCTAGCTTCCCTGTCTTCCTCCCTCTCATTTTGAAAAGGGGTCTCATGTAACCCAGCCCCATATCCAGCTCAATGGGTAACAAAGCTCCCCTTGACCTTCTCTATTGATCTTCCTGTCCCCTCTCCCAAATGCAGAGGGTGCAGGCATGCACTGCCACACTCAACAAGCCTGGCTTTGTTAATACATTCTCAACAAGGGACCTCTCCAGGCTCTGCAGTGTGACTTCACCTCTGCAGCAGAACGTGCTAGAAGCAGCTCCCACGACTTCATCTGTGGGTGAGAGCCCCCAGAGGCCCCTCTAGACCCCACTGGGAGGCTGTGATGTCTGAGAAGTGGGGACCAGAAGCTGGCCTGCCTGGTTAGACCCCTGCACTGCCTCTTGCAAACTGTGACCCAGGGCAAGTCCCTGGCCCCTCTGAGACTCATGCGATAGGGCCAATAAAGTGCCTGCCTTCAGGGCTGCTAGGCACTTGGCACACACTGACAGGAGTCAGTGGGGCTGACTAGCGAGGGGAATGCCTTGCCCAGGATTCATGGTTCTGTGCAGCCAGAGGCGGGCTCATTCTTTGGATTGTGTATGCTCCTCTTCAGCCTGAGTCTTGCTGCTGGCTTCTTGCCAGAATCCCAGGGCCAGTAATCATAGTACCCTTCCCTTTCCCACTGTCAAAACCTATGAATGCCACTCAGACTTCTGCCCTTGGAGGTTGGGGGACAGGCCCACTATTCAGGACTCCCATTTACCTAGGTGAACAGAACATACCCCCCTGAGAAAAAACAACAACAACTCCCTCCAAATCCCAGGCAGGCCATCGGCAGGCAGGTAAGACCTTCCCCTTCCCCTACCACTGGACAACAGGAGTTAAAGCCAAGAGAACAAAATCCTCCAGCCTCAGCCTCCCAAGGGCTGTGATTACAGAACTGCACCACCATACACAGGTCACAGCCACACTCTTTTTGTTGTTGTTTTGAGACAGGGTCTCTCCGCATAGCCTTGGCTGTCTGGGAATTCACTATGCAGACCAAGCTGGCCCGGATATCAAGAGACCCACCTGCCTCTGCCCACCAAGAGCTGGGATTGAAGGTGTGCAACACCACACCCAGCCTCGTCCAGACTCTTAACCTGCCACAGCACCCAGCACGGTAGAACATCAGACTAAAAATAGAACCCAGAATTACTGGGGCTTCTGCAGGCTCCTTCGGTGTAGGTATCCTCTCCAGTCCAATATCAGGCCCATCAGAGCTCTGGGTCACCCACACAGTGTCAACAGGATACCACCCACACTTCCCTGCTGTCTGCTTTCTATGCTCAACAGCCACCAGGGCCACAAGGGCCTTGGCACCCTGTAAGCTTAGCCCTCCCCACCTGCTGCCCAAAGTCCAGCAATCATTTCCCCAGATGGACAAACTGTGACCCAGGTCTTCAGAGATGAAAGAAAGGAGTTGGCAGAGAAGGGTGGTGAGGGCAGAAGGCTCCAAAAGCGCCTCAGTAGGAATCATGGCTAAAGGAAGTCCTCTCTCAGAGACTCTCCTCAATAGGAATCATGGCTAAAGGAATTCCTCTTTCAGACTCTCGTGAGGACTCTCTTGAGGACTCGATGAGCTCATGTCTGTCAGGTGACGCCTCAATTCTTGACACAGAGGGGTACCCTCCCAAGAGAGGGAGCTGTGCACCCTCAGGCACAGCCCTTCCTGTGGCATTTCTGGGTCAGGGCACCTGGAGCCCTATCTCTGACTTCCTAGAGGACAGCTGAGGCTCTAGCGGGGGGGTGGTCTGGAGCAGCAAGCAGGAGAAAGTGAGAGGGAGGGGATGGAGGTGGGTGTCAGACTACAGGCTCCCAGCTCCTGCCAGTGAATGGACCCAGGCCCTTTGTACACCTTACCAGCTGATCCCTGTGGTGGGACTTCCTTATCGGATAGTCTCTTATCTGTCTTCATGTCCTGTTGATTAGACCCTCCAGCAAAACTAGCTGCTCTTGAGCCCAGAGAGAAAATGCCCAGTGCCTTGACCTTAAGGAGACCCGGGGACTGGCTTCATAAGAGGCATCTCTCACGATTTCTAGGAATGAGGTATTGCCACCCTGCGTTGAGGTTGCGAACACCAATATTCTCAAAGGCTGTGCATCGTCAACGTTACCAGTGGGAGGCGTGTGACCCTGTGTATAATTTAGCATGGAATCCGCAGGCATGCAAAAATCCGTGATTCCCAGCACATGGGTCTCAAAGCCTCTCTCTCTCCTAGACTGAGCTCCATTCTAGGTAGCTGAGGATGGATGACCTTCTGACGATCCTGCCTCAGCCTCCCTGGGCAGCTTCTCCAACCCACGCAGATTCCTTTAACTATCCTATCACCCACTATGTGGAGGCCCGCTCCCAGATCCTCCCTCAGGATGGAACAGGATGCCCTGGAGAATGTTGCTTGTCTGGGTGGTCCAAGGTGTGAGTGTGTGTGGTGTGTGTGTGTGTGTGTGTGTGTGTGTGTGTG